ATAACATACCTGAGCAGCAATGCACCATTCCCATTGTTTTTTCATGTTTGGAAGCACTGTTCAGAAGGTGTCTGTTGAATCATGATCAGTTCATCTGTCATAATCACAATATGCCCTGTGCTGTTTCAAGTTATTTTTTTGTTTAGGGGTCCTTTCTATTCTGGGGAACAGAAAGATGTCCTGGGGAGACAAGTCATGTAAGTAGGGAGGCTGCAGAAGAACATAAATTGAATGCTTTGCCAAGAACTCTTGAACAGACAATGCTGTGTGTGCTGGTGCACCGTCATGTTGGAGATACTATCTTACTGCAGTCCACAATTTTGGCAGCTTTCTTCATGCCACATAGCTTACATGCCTCACACTTCCAGATAATAAGCAAAATTAATCATCTTACCTGCTGGAATGAACTAGTGGTGAACAATGCTTAGATAATAGAAAGAATTATCAACACTTTTATCCACTGGACATGCTTTTGAGGGCACCGATAATCATCACACTTCCGAAGTGATGATTATTGTTCTGTGGCTTCTGCCAATCAGTCAATACCATGACCTTCTCAAGGTTCCATTTCAGCTACAGGGCCTCTGCCAAACAAGTCAACACGTACAAAATAGCCACTATATTAGTGCTGGGAGGAAATTCTAGTACTCAAAGCTTCTCTGGAGACTTTTGAAAACTGCAACCATAAAGAGACTCTCAACTTGGGGGTTCGTGTATCGCATGTACTATAAGCTGGGGATTCACAGGCTACTTTCAGCAGGGTAGCTTGATTCTGCAAGTATAAGTTTTACTTTAATACTACAGTTAATATCCAATAAGAATGTCTCATACCTCACAGTTTCTGTTAGGAAAAGATATTCCTGATTGGACTGGAATTACTTCAAGTTATCTTCTAGTCTCTGATGTAAATAGTTTCAGATCCTTGACCTCTATAGACTGTTGGTGTCCATAGTTTGACAGTAGCTCCACCAGGGAACCCAACAAACTGTATTTTCTTTCCTATCCTGCTCATGTCAAGATGGAAGCACAACCAACCTCTGCAATGTAGTGTTTCTAATAAATTTGGACGATGAATAATGTCTAAAATAATAGTTTTAAATAATCTCTCTCAATCTTTTAAAAGCTTTAAACTTAGTAAAAGACACAGAACTTACTGGCTAAAACTATTGGTGCTGTAGCCGTCCTCTGACGTACAATTGCCACGACTGTCGCTCGAGCTTGAGTTCTTAATCTCAGGATACGGGTGCTTCAGAGATGGGAATAGAACATTTCGGGGTTCATGAATCCAGGGGCTCCAGAACACAGAGTGTATTGCAGTTTTAATTTAAAATTTCATTCAAAGATCAATATTTACATTGTCCTCCTAGCTAGCCGCTCCGTCCATCCTACTCGCTACCCCTACTGTAACACACTTCTCTGTTCTTTGTCCTCCTCAGTATCAGTACCCGTCACGACAACGATCATAATGATCATAACAGACCCAGCAGCATCANTGTGTTATATATCATGTATAGGAAGTAATAATACTGAGGTTTCTATTTGTTATTAATTTCAGTAGTATAATGAAACTCGAGAATCTGATACACACTCTTGTTAACAAGATTAAGATACTAGTTCACTAGTTATGCTTTCATTCGGTTCATAAATTTAAAATTTTTTAAAAATTTTAAATTTAAATTTTAACTTTTGACATTTAGAACAATTTTAAATTGTGTTTTATGAGAGAGCTTGATATATTATTTGAGAGTGGGCCTGAATAAGATACAGGATCGAGTAAGTGAGAAGACGAATGTGATTGCATGTAATTATACAGCTGTGTTCGTACACCTGAGGATGACCTCTTGAGGTCGAAACATGTAGTGTAATAATAATAAAAATATGTTGTGTGGTCGGTAAAATTGACTCTAATATTGAGCGTAAGTAAAATGAGACTGTAAAACAAGTGAAAGTGTAACCAGTGACATGAATTGAACTTCGATTCACGAACTTTTAACTTTTAACAATTGCATTAGAATAATAATTTTAACTTGTGTTTTATAAAAAGCACTCGATATATTAGTGAGCGTAAGTCAGGATTACAGGGTTGAATGAGTGAAAAGTGAGTGTGACCACGTGTAATTATACAGCCATGTTCATACACCTGAGGATGACCTCTTGAGGTCGAAACATGTAGTGATAATAAAAAACGTGTTGTGTATTCGGTATATTCACTCTACTATTGATGTAACTGTTATTTCATGTTTAGACATGTGAATCTAAACACAGAAGTAGGGCAAATTGGCATACTTCCTGCTGAATAGGTAAAATGAAGCCCCTAAAAAGTCTTAAGGGGTCAAAATATGTTGATGTAACAAAAAGAAAAAGGACAAACTGACAGTATATTTGTTCAGTGGTGATGATATTTAATCATGAAGAACTGTACTTCACTGGAGAAGTTATAGTTTCAGGAGCTAATAAAAGGTAACATTATCCCTGTGCTTAAATAATTAAGCACTATTCCATGAAGATGTAAGGAGGAGCGAATGTATAGACCCACTAGCAGGAGATGTGAGGTCAGCTTTACGACCTGGCTGCCCAGGGCATATAAATACAGGAACAAACACACCACATCTCCACTAGTAAACACAACACCACATGCTAGGGATCTTATAAAGTACAGATGGCAGTCGTAACTGAAAAGTACGCTACAAATGTGAGGGGCAAGCTACTGAAAAAACACCCTGGACATACATACATTTATGAAAAATGGACGACACCCCATGTGATGTGAAATAAAAAAAAATTCACAAACTAATGTGGGTATAATAAAAACTTTAAAGGATTTTATTTGGGTTTACCTTGAAAAGAGAACTACAACATGTGATTTTAACCCGGACTAAGACAGTGTAGCAGTTTTAACATAATTTAATAAAATATAGTATGTGCCAAAATATGCAGTACTTAATCTCGCGAATCTTGAAAGCGCATGTGCATTTGTCGACAGGGCATAGTTCCAGCAGCACGTGTTCCCAGTAGTGAAAAGGAAGTTGTTTTGTGCAGTTGTTGTTGGAAATGGGTCTCTCGATGGAAGAAAACTATTCATAGTTTAGTATTATTTGCACTCATAAGGAAGTGGTCGCCAGACTTCTTGCTTCCTTGGTTTTGAGTGGCCAGACGTTATCGTTCAGAAACCACTACATAGTACACGTGTGATGATATGGTGTGCCGTCTCAGCACACAGTATATTAGGCCCCTATTTCATTGAGGATGAGGAAGGCAATGCTTTTACTGTCACCCAAGAACACTACAGGGACATGGTGATCGGACCATTTCTTCAGGATTTGAGAAGGTTCTGTCATGCAAGGGGCCTTCACATGAATACACAGTACTATTAACAGGACGTCTTTCCATTTCAGTACTGATTTTTTGGCGCATACTGTATTTGTAACATATCAAGACACCTGAAGATGGCTGTTTGGTGCAGAAATATGCAGTGTAAATGTTAAACTAAAATTAAAATTAAGTAGTGAATAAACAATATAATAAAATAATAAATAAATTAAATAATTGCAACAGGAAGCTGAAATACAGAATTATAGTATACTAATTTGATAGTATACAGAGTCTTAAAACAGTTAATATGAAAAGAGGCTTTTTATGCAACACTTAGTCATCACTGAAATCAGTTGGAAAGTCTTTTCCTGGTACAGTTGCTCCTCAAGCAAAACTTGCAGAATATTTATTTATCAGAATGAAAAATGTTTCAAACAAAAGTTATAGAGAAATTTTGTGCCCAGTACAAATTTTCCTTGAGTGTTACAGTTTTCATGGTAATTAACCTTTACTGTATGTGCAGTGCAAAGATATTGCTGTTTTCATTATTAATTGTATATTTAGGTTCATATTGTGAAATTTATCATTGTGTCTGGTGTTTTCGTTTTGTTATTTTTATGTGGTTTAATTTAATTCAAGATTGTGATAAGAAAAAAGATAAAGCTATTCCCATACTTAATTACATAATTAGGCACTATACCATGAAGGCACATGGGGGAGTGGAGGTACATACAAGTACAGCTCCACCATCCCTGATGTGGTCATTATGTGGCAGTGAGTGGTCAGTTTCATGCTGCTGCCTCTTTACCCCATGAATAGAGCCCCTGGTACCCTTTGGATAGGAGGGTGGGTGGGTCCCAGAGACAAGGAGAGAAAAGTATCTTTCCCCTTCGGGGATTCAGACCAAAGTTATCAAGCCCATAGCCTGGTCAGTATGCCAAGTGAGCTGTCTCTGCTCCTTAGAACTGTATTAAGTATGTATTTGTGGATCAAACACTCAAATACCAACATATACAAACCGCATTAGCTGAGGTGGTTTTGTCTAACAGGCATTTGTAGTGCAGTAGATGCTCTGATTAAATCAGAACGTCACTGAATGCCACAGACAAATCGGTAGCAGTCATTCTTCATATTCTGGGGGCCCAGGTTCAAAGCTTGGCTTTGAGATCAGCTATCCTCTGTGATGACATCAACAGGTTTCCTTAGTCCCATCCAGGCAGCTGGTAGGATAATAGTACCACAAATCAGGCCATAACTCTTTCTTTCCCCATGATTTCCAATTCAGTATCCACTGATCATCTTACCATTCAACACTATAACAGATGTGGCCAAACTGCACATGGCCCTTTGGAACCATAAGTGTTGCTTGTTTAAAAGATTTTAGTCAGTCCTTTCTTGCAGATGAGTTACATATGAAGCATTTGCTTTGTGGAAAGAACATCTTTGCTATCCAGTGTACATCTGTTTGCAGCTCAGTTCAGTCAGTTTGCTCACCCCCACTATATAGTGTGAGCTGCTGACAGCATGATTAAGTAAACCATAAAACAGACCAGTAATAGTAACAATTATAAAAATATAAAACCACAACTTTGCCACTCAGCTGCGGAAAGCAGTGACATGATTGTTGTGTTGCATGTTCTTTTGTTCATAGATTGAATGATAAATGAGGGTAACATTTTGACTTCCAGGCCTCTGCAAATGAGCGAGCAGGGCGTGCGTCATTATACAGCCTGGGCATACAGACACGAGTTTGAAGATAACACGGTGCCTGAGATTCAGCTTATTAACTTGGGCAATGCTGTTTTGACATCAAAGGCTCTAGCAATTTGTGACCTTGTACATTTTGACTTTTTGGATCCTCCACCTCCTGAGACACTGGTGAGAAAACTGTTCTAACACTGATTTATTAACAGATTGGTGAGAATGGGATGTGGATGGCGTATACATCCTTACAGCTGTAATTTTCTTTGCTGTATGTTAGTTTGAAGGAAACTGACCACAGTAATATTACTGGTCTAATCTATGATGTAAGTCTCAGGAAGGTAAACTGTTACTCTGCTTATGAGTTATACTACGAGTATACTGAGGCGACAGGAGGAGGTCTCATGTTTGGCAGAGATGACCCTGCTTGAAGCATCCCAATATCTTCCTCCTGTTCAGTTCCTCTCCATCTCTGCAGCCGCTTGTTTTGTCTTTCTTCTTTTATGTGAGTACTTTACAGCAGTCAGTAACTTGACTGTATAGTATGGAATGGTAGGATGACTGGTGAATGATGAATTGGAAAGGATCTGGAAAGAGGCAGCCTTGCCTCAGATGAAGTACTGTAGAAAACCATGAAAAACCTCTCAGGATAGTGGTGTCATGGACGAGATTTCAACTGAGCTCCTTGTGAGTACAGTCTACAGCATTAGCAATGTGTGAACACATTTGATTCCAATACACTTGTCATTAGTGAAGTTATCCCTTCCAACTTTGCAGTGAACAAAATGGCTAGAAGACTGTAGGTGAGTATATGAAGTGTGCTGCTGGGTGGTGAAGCATAACAGCTCAAGGGAGGTGCGGAGGGTGGTCAAGCTATATGACTTCTTTCTTTCCTTGGCCTCAGTATAATAACTTTATCTTCCAGTACTTACCATCTGATAGTTTCAGGATACGAAGAAAATACATCATTTCCTGGCTTTGCACAGTGTTCCGGGAAAGACTTTAAATAAGGTCGCTATCAGCTGAAGGCAAGATGTTACTTTATGATTTTACAGAGTAAACACTTGGACAGCAGCTTGTGTTTTATACCCCTCATACGCAGTATTACAGAAGTAGAGCTCAGACCCTGATGAAGACCAAATAATCATTTGCAGTTTCTGTGTTCAGAGGGTAGGAATGTTGTAATATTGAGATATAACACTTTGTGAACACTGGGTGATATAAAATTTTAAAGTCTGAAAATGCATCTTTAATATGACTGAAACAGAAAAATAATTTTTAACCTTTATTGTTTGGGAGGAAGGGATTTCAGATCTCGTGAATCTGTAAGGCAAGTAGCCCTATTTTAGTAGATGTAATGATATTTGTAAACATACAGTGCACCGCTCAGAGTAATGCAGCAGTCAGCTTGTAGAAGTCAGTCTGGCAGAAGGGAACATGAATTATAATTTATTCCACATACTGTGGAGTGTGTTATTTTCCCCAGGATGTTCTGCTTTATGGCAATTGTTGGCATTAGAGCAGTTACATGCACTTGGGCCACTCAACCATCATGGAGAACTAACAACACTGGGCCATCGAATGGCTGAATTTCCTGTTCATCCCATGATAGCAAAAATGATCCTTGCATCAGAAAAGTAAGTTATTTGATATGCCAGCATGCAGTTAACAGTTCTAATTCATATTTTGCGCCTATTTCTGCTATAAGCACTTAGACGTCTTAGTATATACAGATTGATATAGTTAAGATCGTATCCAAATAGGAAACATTTTATATCTCAGTGAACCCAAATTAAATAAGTATATAAAACATGCTGGAAGTATCCTTCATTGTGAGAAATACATTCATTCTTCTTGCCCATGTTTCAGTTGTGCACTAAGGTACAAAATACAGTGTACTCTCTCAGGGCAGAGTTTTATATGGATAACTCTTTGTGTATAATGTCTCCATACCTGTAGCATGACACTGATCAGAAATACTTTTCTTGCTTTTATAATTTTCCTGAAAGTCTGTACTGGTTCCTGACTGAGCAAGAACAGATACAAACATTTCAGTTAGATGTATCCTTTGATTGCAGGTATAAGTGGTCAGAAGAGTTTCTGACTATTGCTGCAATGCTTCCTGTAAATTGTGCCATTTTCTACGGACCCAAGGACAAGACAGTCCATGCTGATGCTGCACAACATAGCCTCTTTACACCAGATGGTGATCATCTCATGCTGCTGAATATTGACACACAGTGGTGTTATGCAAATTTCTTACAGCATCGCTCTCTGAAACATGCACGTGACCCACGTGATCAGTTGGCAGGGCTAATGGCACGTGTTGATATAGATCTGGTTTCAGGAGCAGGTGACACTGCTGGAATCAGGAAGGTAACCCAAAGTAAAATCTAACAATGCATATAGGTAGGAGCCTCATTTTTCTACATTCAGACATTCAGTTTCATTAGTCTCAGTCTGCAACGAGCCATGAATCTGAGTAATGTAAGCACAGTGTAACAGTTTCAATGCATTTTCTCCCTTTTATTCCATTATCTTGAAAAATGTAAGAGTTAAGAAAAAGGAAATTGGGTATGAAATATGTTCCATTTTTCTCTGCAGCTCTTGTTACAAACGTCTTGTTCTCTGAAATTTTGAGCGAGTTACACTGAAGATCTGTGCAGAAATGTATGTAGGCTTTCATGTAGTGTGTCCAATGTCACTGTCTGATTTTAACCAAAATTGGAATGTCAACAAATCTTAGTAAAGCTCCTCAGTATGAAATGTCATGAAAATCAGTTTGGCAGTTCTGCAGCAAGTTCCTGCATTTATCCACATGACAGAAAGATGGAGATGACAAAGCAAATGGTAACACTGTGAACATGGCGGCCTCAGTAGTCTATGGGTAACGTTCCCACCTCATGACTCAAGGTACGCGGGTTCAAACCTAGCGGAGGTCGTGGAATTTTTAAGGGCGGAAAAATTCAGGGAACAAGTCCTCTGGGAGGGACTTTAAGCCGTGGGTCCCGTGTCATAGATTTACAGCACGTAATAGAACCTCATGTCTCTAGGAGACCTCTGAGCTAAATTAGGCAAAAAGTTTCCCGCCCAAGTGGTTTCCAATGCCTCTGGTAGATGGGGAAGCATTAGGTATCACTGCCAGAGGAGGGGCGACCTCACTGACAGAAAGGGACTAATTATCAGATACCACTGCCAGTAGAAGGCCGAAACTTTGCTGGCAGAAAGGGGCTGATAGCGAGCACCAGTACCAGTAGGGTATGGAGACAATAGAAATTAAAAGGGGGACGCACAATAGATCAACTACTGGTCGCGGTGCATGGGGAAACCCACCCCCTCAATACTGAATAACTGAACACTGTGAACATGCCTAGAGGTTCAGATTTTGTGGTGGTTTGCATCTTATTCTATGAAATAGAGCGCAGTCAGAATATAATTTTATTTTATATTAGAAATCACTCTCACCTATGGAGCTGAGCCCTTCTTGAGACGCCGCTAGTTGTGCAACTACTCAAGAACTTCCCGGCATTTTATGGAACCCGAAGGTTCATTACTGTGTTCACAAGAGCAATCCACTGGTCCCTATCCTGAGCCAGATCTATCCAATCCATACCATTCTATCTCTCTAACATCCAGTCCAATATTGTCCGCCCACCTATGCCTTGATCTTCCCTGTGGTGTCCTTCCTTCTGGCTTTACCACCAATATCCTATACGCATTCCTTCTCTCCCCCATTCGTGGTACATGACCTGTCACCTCACCCTCCTTGACTCGATCATTCTAATTATACTTGGAGAAGAGTACAAGTTATGAAGCTTCTCATTATGCAGTTTTCTCCAACCTCCTGTCACTTCATCCCTCTTCAGTCCAAGTATTCCCCTCAACATCATGTTCTCAAACACCCTCAGTACAAGAACACTAGGTATGTTTATATATAATTATTCAGGCCACTTCCTGAGGATATTATGAGGTTTACTCCCTATTACTGTCAGCAGGTGCAGTATCACAACAGAATTTCCGGATGCATTTCAAATACTCACTCACTACATTTCTTCTAATTACATGAGAATATTTTAATTCCACAGCTTGAATGGTGTTCCTTTGAGGTTTCAGCTAATATTGTGACATGGCAAAGAAATCTTATTTTATTGCAGACAAAATACTGGTATATTCTCTAGTAAACACACTAATATCTTGTCTCCTTCATCTAAGTTTTGCTAGCTGATTTTAATTCTAATAACCAGCATGAACATATCATGATTGTATATGAATATACCCTTTGGAATATTTCCATTTTATCCTTTTTCCAGACGATAACGATGTTGTATTGCCACAACTGGATATAAGAAGCTTAATAATTCGTTTATTATATTATCTGAAGCCACAAGTATTCTGATATATTTTCAGAGAATGATGTATAACAGGTGATTTACTAACTTTATTTAATTTGGTAGAATGTACTGCACTTGAATTACATGTGTTATAGTGTTTAGTAGTTAATTTTAAATTTCCCATAAAAATCCTTCGTTTTTGTTACAGGCTTTTTTCTCATATGCTTTACTGATGTATTATCAACAGACTCAACTGAAGTCAGTGGAAAAAGTTGATTTACAGAAGAACTAATTGTTCAAGGTTGAACTTCATGATATCTGAGCGCTGTGATATTTGTGCTGAGATTATTTTCCTTCTCTACAACAGGAAAAATCTGAAGAACTAAATTGAATGATAGTATTTCTTTACTCAGATCATGCAAGTGTAATCCATGTTTAATACACAAGTGTCTATTTTAATTTACTTCCATCACACTGAGATGTGGAAATAGTTTTTGACCTTTAGTAGTTTTCTATTAAAATTAGTAATTTCATTGAGTAATATTAGGACCTTTTAGGTAATGCCTATGAGGGACTGTTAAAAGAATCACATTCATATGAGTGACTCTTAATGAATTCAATAAAATCATTAAAAACCATACTTAATTTTACTCTACCAATATCGTTTGACCCACAACAAATAATAATAAAACATTTGTCTAGCAAATTATCAACATCTTTTGTACCTTGTTCAAATATTATTTTGGTACCAGCTCCAGGTTTAATGTAACCACTTACTTGGAACTCATCATTCAAATAATTTCTCATATTTTCTGAGTAGCCTCTTATATGACTATCACCTATCAACAGTATTTTATGTTTTGAAGATTTTGAAAGGTTGTTTTTACTACTCAGCAATTTGGGATATAATTCACCTACATAATTATGAAGAGAGAGCACTTCCTCATCCTTAGGAGAAACACATCCATTAATAATAGTTGGAATGTTTTGGTGTTTGGTATGATCTTCCTGAATATTCACATTCCATATCTATATCGATTATGCACTTTTTTTGGTGCACCAATACGATGCTTTATATAATGCCTCGGATGTGCATTTTCTGTATCACGACAATCTTCAACCTCTTGTGTTTTAGACGCGCCATCTTCTCCACCTGATGGGTAGTCCATTAGATTTAATAGAACGTTATATCGGCTATACCGACAATTAGTAGCATTAGTAGTTATGGCAAAGTATGGCGTATATGTACAGTTTGTATGTTCTTCTTTCCAATACTTCTATACCTTTTACAGTCGTCCGACTTCACATTCGTCGTTACACCAGGTATAACCTCAAGTTTGACGGTAGTCTCTTCCAACTCTATAGACAAGAGTTTATTTCATTTAAGTCAGCCCATTGGTACCACTTAATGGCAGTCCACCATCTTATTTCCTTGCACCTATTTAGCCTTTCGCCTTGACTGCAGAAGCTGCCCATTTGGCCTAGATAACCTTGTCATATTAAATCAATTAATTTTCAAACTTTAAGTACTGTATTATATGGCAAACAATTTTATATATATATATTTAGTATCAGTGGTGCTTATTTATTATTTTTACAATTTATTTCCAAATCCAAGCAGCTTTTTTCCATTGTGACGATTGCAACACCTATCGGATGATGTAGAAGTTACAACTTCACGCATAAAGCGACAAACGATGTGATTGGATATTGAAAAGTGCTATATTGTATAGTGTTTGCTGGAGACAAATTAAGGGCCGTGTTTCATCATTGATATGGATACGTAGGTAGTCATTTTGTGGTGTTCGCAGAACAGGCAGCTAGTAGGAGGTCGTGTGATTGACTTTATTGTGTTGTAGTAAAGTGTGGTGTGAATATTTTGGAGAACTACCAAAGTAACATTACATCGACGGTAATAATGGCCAAGGTAGTGAAAGAGGTAGCCGAGGAATATGCGTCTTCGTTATCGGATCTCACCAGGAAGAGCAAGGCGATGATCAACAGGTTTTCGATGGTTGCTGTGAACCGATACTTCTCCCGTCTTCACCCTACCACCACCAAGCGTCGGTGAAGTCGGGAGCGGTTCGTCGTCTCTGGCCCTCGCGTCGTGTTTACAGTGCTCCCTAAGATCATCATGGGAAACCAAGCTCACAGCGGAGAATCATTATTGAAGTCAATGACACCCGAAACTAACAACAGTGTTTAATAAACACAANGGCGGCATCAAGAAATTACGTGTCTAAGGCTAAGCAGACCTCACTCACAGGTAGCCTCAAGAAAATAATATATATTTATACAAAAAACTAACTCTCGTATCGCCGCCATGCCATTGCCCTGATAGCTGGTGACTATAAACCCCAACGTCTGCGGCCAGACCCAGAGTATGCCAAAACGCAATTTTGAAACAACACCCATCTGAATTGAAATTTAGAAAATATCCCTGGCTGGTCCGCAGACGTGCTTACCCAAATGGATCCACTTATCAGACTTCCTACCTCGCTTTCCAACATACAAGGTGTGTCCCAAAAGTCATGATATATATATTTTTTTAAATTTATTGATGATATCGGCACAAAGTGTTAATATTCTTCAAAGTACTGTCCATGAGCATCTACACATTTTTTCCACCGACTCTCCCATGCCCGGTACGCCCCGTCAAAGGCCTAGACAGGAACCTCATTTAAAGCTGTTGTCACGGCCGCTTGGATAGCCTGAATGCTTTCAAAATGGCGTCTTTTGAGTGCAGTCTTGATCCTCGGGAACAAAAAGAAGTCGGCCGGAGCTAGGTCGGGGCTGTAGGGTGGCTGTGGCAGCTCATCCATCAACAGTATGGGGACCAGCTTGGCGCACATCTTTCGCATGTTCAATTCATCCATAATGATGCGATGCACAACGGTTTTTGGAATGTTCAGAGTGTCGGCTAACAACCAGACAGTCATTCAACGGTCAGTATTCAACAGATCACCCACACGCGTCACATTTTCATCGATTTGGCTTGTTGATGGCCGTCCAGATCGGGGATCATCTTCCACTCCTTCCTGGCCCTCCTTAAACTTCTTCACCCACCTTGTAACTTGCACATGTGATAGAGCAGACTCCCCGTAAGCTTGCTTAAGCAGTTTGTGAATTTCGGCAGGTTTTTTTGTTGAGCTTTGTGTAGAACTTGACCCCCCAACGTTGTTCAGAAGTATCCACCTTAGCGCACCATGACGTGGTCACAAAACACAGGTGCACTAAATCAGCGATACTGACGCCTCCGATGCTCGAGCAGACTGACCTTTGGGCGCGCTGTGAAGCTAAAGGCCTCCCCCCCTAATCAAACAGGTTCCAGCGCGCTCCGACCAGTAGGAGCGCAGGAAAGAAATATATTTCATGACTTTTGGGACACACCTTGTACTTCCTCCCGAGACACAAGGTTAGAAAGGAAGGGGAAATCACATGGTCTTTGGGAGAGAAGGAGGGGGTGAGCTTAGAATCGTGAAAGGAAGGGTAGTGCAGAAAATATGGCTGGAAGCCATGACGTCACTCATTACGCAAGCCGTTCCATGCACGGCTCAGCTGATGAAAATATCAGGCATGCCCCCAGGCATTGGAAGAACATCTTCAAAAGGTTAGTTTTAAGGTTTTGCTTGATATTGTCGCATCTTGAGGTTGATTGAGACAGATTGTTAAAAGAGTGCTGAAATTCAGGCTGTTCATAGTAAAGTAAAACAAAAAAATTAAAGCTATCCCAGTAACAGGCAGTGAAGGCCCTTAGGGTTGTGAGACGTTGAGGGTCCCATATTATCTAGACAATCAGTTCATAGATGGCGGCAAGGTTGTTAGCCTTACGCGCCGGCCGTGCTTTACTCCCCAGGAAAATTATTTAATTGATTCCTGGTACTCATTTCTGTTAAGAGGCCAAGTCAACCCCAGGCACTACTTTTCCGAGAAGTGGTGGCTGCTTGGTGGGTATAGTTCGCTTGCGGACTGACACCACGGCCGTTTTATTTAGTAGTCTTAATATAGTTAATCATATGCCAACAGATATTCCATGTAGTACAATTGCAAGGTATAGTATTTGCTAGAAGATATGTCACTTGCAAGTAGGTACTGCCCAGGATGTGAATTTAAACACATTGTGAGAAATGGATCATGTTTTTAAATATCCTTGCACATATATGATATTATTCTGACAGTCCTTTCTGAGCTAGCTTCATTGTGCACGTTTGGACACCAAAAGGAGAAGACCATTTACAGTCACATTGGACATTCCATTTCCCTTCATTATCCAGATGTCAGCAGTTCCATTGAAAAGTAGCTTTGGAAAAGTTTGGTCCTATTGTGAGTGGGCAGGTTTGGCATACTTAAATATAGTAGTGTAATTATATTGCTGCACTTCTCAAGACTGGAAGGAAAGTGGAGCCTAAGCAAGCA